ACCGAGCAGGAGGCCACACAGATAGCTCAAAATGTAAAGTTCTTACTACCAAAGCCTAACCGCTCCAGAATTGGAGAACCAACTCTCAAAAGTTGCCCTTGACCAATGAATGTGCAAACACACGCACACACGCACACACGCACACACTAAAGAAAAATAAACCAGTGGGGATCTTCTTCTTAGGGTTCAGATGAAAACTCCCCCAGAGGCTGTCTATCTTCTGAGGAGATCATTTTTCACTAATATCATTTGGTTGAGTAAGCTATGGCTATGAACCATTTTTAAACCTTTGGAAACATGTTGTTGCATTCTGAACATTATCCCTACAGGTCTTCTTGGCACACAACACCGCACACTTCCCAGCCCAACATTCCCTTCCCAGGCACAGGCTTCCACTTACACTCAGTGAGGCTGTGTCCTGGTGCTTAGAGGATACCCATCGATGACCTGGTCTCATTCACAAAACAAGTCAGGGATGGACACAGGAAGACAGAAAAAGAACGTTCCCAGCGTACTTTGCATCAAGAGGCCAGACAGGACCAAGGGCAAAGTTCTCGTTGGCTCTGATGGAAAGCCTGCAGGACCCTGGAGACAGGACCAAGTCCTCTTCTGCTTTGTCACAAACATTCAGAATATCAGCTGAAGTCTTGTGTTATGCAAACATGTTTCCAGCCTTTGGCAAAGAGCCTGAATCCTCTGTTACCTGCCTCACAGTTCTGCTTCCCTCCAGTTGACTCTGACCCTGGGCCTGGATGTTGTTTGGTTTTTTTTAAGGTGCCCTAGCTAATTTTATGGCTAGTCAGGGCTGAGGACCCTAGAGCATCAATCCAGGTTCTACCCCCACTTTCCAGCTTGGAGTGCTGGGCCCCAGAGGGACTGGTCAGTCCATGTAGCTCCCAGGTCAGCAACTTGGAAAGCTTTACTTGAGACCACTGTTGGCAGCTACTGTGTCTCTGCTATGTTGGAATGGAGGTGGTAATGAAGGAACTAGGCTTTACCAGGAGCAGACCCCAGAGCAGCAGCACCTCCAATTCCTTCCTCCCTCCCTCCATCCATCCATCCCTCCCTTCACCCCTCCCTTCTTCCCTTCCTTCATTTTACCAATCACCTCTGTGCATCTGAAGACTGAAAACCGGAAGACACCTAGAGTTTTCATTACAAAGGGAAATGCTTTTGAACCCTCACCCACCCCCTCGCTCTTGACAAATATTTGGCCAGTGGGGTCCTGAAGCCAGACCTGAAAGGATTGCTCACTGCCCGGGAGTGCCTTATCTCCCGGGTGTGGGTGCCCTGTCTGCTCTCTCTGTTTGCCCTCTGTACAGCTTGAAGGTGGAGTGGGGTGCAAACAGGCTTGGGCCCCCATGATTCATGCTGAATATCAAGTGGCTCACCCTTCCTCCAGCCCAGCTTCTGCCACTCCCTTATCCTACATGGTGCCTGGCTTCCCCACCCTCTGGAGCCCTGAAAACTGTTGCAGCATCCCTTCTTGTGAAATACTCTCTGTCCTTCTACCAAAGAAGCACACCCCAGCCCTGTGTCCAGCTTAACCAACTAAATCCACCTTTCCCTCTAGGGCACCACTGAAGCCATGGTCCAGGCCAGCTCCCTTGCCTCCTCAGAGACAGCTCTTAGCCTTCATTTAGGCCAGAAAAAGTAACCTAAAGTATGTCCAGTTCAGATGCAGGTGCTTTTTGTTTTGTTTTTCCCCCAAATATTTTCATTGTAATTGTTGAGACAGGGTCTTACTCTGTAGTCCAGTCTGGCCTCAAACGCATAAGCCTTCCTGGATTTTCTAAGCACCTTTTAATCTGCAATTGGTTCAATCCATGCATGTAGAAGCCATCGTGCCCCACAGCTACTGTAGCCATCTGTGAGGAGCTTCTACACCAGAACTGACTTGAGCAAAGGACCACTCTCCAAATCGGAAAGTCCCTGGTGAAGCCACATTTCGTAGGCACCATCTGGCTCTGTTCCCTTCACGTTCCCCTCATCCTCCTGCCTTCTTAGTGGGGCTGTGAGCCTTTTATCCACCTCCTCATATTCCCTCTGACCCTGCTCAGCCATCCCCATCCTGGCTCCATCCCAGAACAATACAGCCTTGCGCTCCCCACCTGTTGAGCCAGGCAGTGAGGGGTACAGGGAAGACCTATTGCCAAGCAGGGAGGCAAATTCTAGGGTTTATAAGGATGTCTGCAGAGTTACCCGCCCCCAATCTGAGTGTAACATAAACAGGAGACTGGTGGAGGAATGTCCCTAGGTGTAGACCAGATTGGCCTCTAACTCACAGACATGCCCCTGCCTCTGCCTCCCAAGTGCTGGGATTAAGTACATGTACCACCACTGCCTGACTCATTAATGGTGTTTTAAAGAGAATCTGTAATCCCAGCACTCAGGAAGTGGAGACAGGAGGATTGACATGAGTTGGAGGCCAACTGAAGTTACTTAGTTCCAGGCTGGCCTGGGCTACAGTGAGAAACACTGTCTCAAAAACTGAACTGAGAGAAAGAAAGGAAGGAGGGAGGCAAACAGAGAACTTTCTGCAGTACCTCACTGTGAAGCCTACTGCTGTCTATACCAACCAAAGGGTAGGGGGTGGGCACCTAATTTTCAAAAGTGCCAGTTTGTTAGGTGACATACCCAGAGCCAGGTTCTCCTGGACCTGCCAGGGGCTAGAGGCTGGACTAGGGTACAGGATGGGTTTTGTTCACTGGAAAATTGTGGACAAGGGTTCTGACTGGACCCCAGGAATCAATCTCTCCCTCTGTGTGTGTGTGTGTGTGTGTGTGTGTGTGTGTGTGTGTGTGTGTGTGTGTGTGTGTATCCAGAAACATGGAGCAGAAGCCAGAGCACAGTCTCCAGCATAGTGATACAGGTACTCACTCACACAGCCTGATTCAGTCAGGCATGCACCATAGGCTCAGAGCCGGCTCAATGCTAGCATCTAGGAAGACTTTGGCAAACCCTGTGTTATCTCTGACATGCCTAGTGTCCCACCCTTGACTCCTGATCACAAGTCCTGTGTCTGGCTGCATAGGGAACATAAGATGTAATATAAGAGGTAATATAAGATGCATAAAATAGAACCCATACTTCTGTAAACCAGGAACTGAAAACAATTTCCAAGTCTGCCATTTGCAGGTGACCATGTGCACCAGCTTAACTTAATGCATTTGACAGTTTGTTTGCCCTAAATGTAATGATATAGCCACAGTAAACATAAACCACAGTCATTACCCAGTCCACCTTTGCTGGCTGTGCTCTGAGGGAATTCTTCAGTGTCTCAATACACTCAACCCTTTGGCAGGAGTCAGGAGAATGGACTGAAAGGGGCTTGCTTTCTTTTGTGGCATCCTATGAGACACCCATAAGCACTTCTGGCCTACAGTACCCCACATAGATTCTGCAGAAGAGTGGTCCCACACATATGGGCAACCCAAGCTGCTCCTGTGGTGGTTTTGTTCATAAGTCACTCTAGTTTAGCACAGCCATTTAACTAGCCTGGATGGAGGACGGCAGTGTAGAGGATGGCTGGCTGGAAGAGGGGGCAGACGGTTCTCTTGGCAGCCCTCAGGGAACAGCTTCTGTGACTGAGGCAGACTTCACTGCCGTAACCACCTGATTAGACAAAGTACGTTTTACCTCTAGCTGGACACCCCAGTGTTGGGGCTCAGGGCTGCAGAGGCACGTAGGACTCCCTTGCAGCATGCAGACAAGTGGCCTGGTTTAGATTGACCTCAGATGGTTATGAAGTAACCAGACCCCAGACCAAGGACACTTTGGAGAGAAATGCCCCACACTGATGCTTGTCTCTGCTGACTAGATGGATGGACCTGACGGGCCTTTGCATTTCTTCATGCCGTATGCTCATACCTCCTAAAAGCTATTCAACTGCAACACAAGGGAGTGTTGCCTGCCCTCAGCCACAGCCACCCAGAAGGAAGTGCCCTGCTGGGCCATACTGCTTTTCCAGACTTTCGATTGCAGAGTCATCTCCACAGGTCCCAGCCCAGTCCTCATCTGCCTGGGGCAGGGACATGAAGCTTGAGCCAAAGAGGCTCAGAGAGACCTATAGAAAATCCCAGCAAGGCTTGAGTGCTGAGCCATCCAGGGGACTTCTGGAAGCTCTCCAACCCTGGGAACATCCATGGTGGATGTCTTTGGAGTATGCTCCTCTCACACCTGTGCCAGCCATCTGAGAAAACAGGCTAACCTGTGACCTCCCTGCTCTAATTTCAACTTAGACGTCAGAAAAGTTCCTGCACTTGGGGATCTAAGACTTCGGGACTGGAAAAAAATATGCCATTAACACAGTATAGCTAGTATGTCCACCCATTAATAACCTAAACAATTTTCTTAGTTGCTACAGTGCTTTTTCTGTTGCTGGGGACTGAACCCAGGTCCTTGCAGTGGCTAGACCTCTACCACTCAGCTACATTTCCAGCCCTTGATATTTTGGTAAGGGTCTCATGGTGTGGTGTGGGCAGGCATAAAACTCACTGTGCAGCCTAGATTGGCCTTGAGCTTGCTATCCTCCTACCTCTGCCTCTCTGGCGCTGGCATTAGAGACTGTCACTCTGTCACCCTCAGCTGGCTGCTTACTGTTTTATAATATAAAAGACATTCTAAATCAAAACGATCTAGAAGAATAGACACTCAGAAGAAAGGGTAGCCCTTCTAATGCTTATTACACAAATAATTCATTCTTTTGACAAATGGATCCACTTCTCAACCATGGAGTTACTGAGTTAACTGGAGTTAACTGAGTTAATATTTGTGAGGTGCTTAAGACACTGCCCAGGTGTAATACAATGTTTATTAAATAAAAAATGAAAGTTGTACTTAAGAAATGAAACAAAGCCAGCCAGCAGGTCACAGCAGAGGTGAGATCGGAAGCTCTAGCCTGAGGCCTTGGAAGACAAAAGAGATCTCTTTGTACCCTTTCTGCGTATCTGTGGCCTCAGTGTCCCTGTTCCAGTCCTCCCTCTGCTTCCTCCCTGCAGATCTTTGGAGGTCTGGTGTGGATCCTCATCGCTTCCTCCCTGGTGCCCATTCCCCTGATCCAAGGCTGGGTGATGTTCGTGTCTGTGCTCTGCTTTGTGGCCACCACTTCCCTGATGGTCATGTACATAATTGGTACTCATGGCGGTGAGACTTCCTGGATCACACTGGTGAGTACTGGCCCTGGGAATGTGTGTGTGTGTGTGTGTGTGTGTGTGTGTGTGTGTGTGTGAGATGAGGATGAGTGTGGGAGGTGGAGGGTGGGCGTAGGGGGTGGACACTTATCACTGGAAGACTACTTTCCCAACCCTGAATGGGGGTGCCCTGGAAACACTTTCCAGCACAACCCAAAGCTGAGGTGGCCTGGCCTCAGTTGGGACTCTTCCCAGCAGTAAAGGCTTCCCATATTGAGGAGGCCAGAAAGGAGGGCAGGGTCCATGTATTTGCTGCACATTCTTAGGGGGCTCTCTGATTTCTTATCTGCGGTTGCCTTTTCAAACGTAACTAACAGCCCATCCATCTCCACCCACCCCATGTAGCTGACAGCTGTCAGCTGCTCCCACCATCCAGGAGGGCTGTCAGCACTGTGTGGAGCAAAGTTCTGGTGGTTGGGCCTAAGCTAGTGGCTCCCTAGTGACCAGACCATGCTTTCTACTGTGCTCCATGGCGACTCCCATCTAATCACACTTTCCAGAACCCTTGAGTGCCAAACCGGCCTGTGTACTTTCTTTTGTAGTAAGTTCCGCTTTGAGGCCCTGGAGACAGGCCTCAAATAAATATAAGGGAACTTGCTTATTATTAATTAAAAGAGGGTTCAGGCCACTTGGCTAGACCTCTACTTCTCCACAGCCTTTCTACTTGAATTTTTGAAGTCACTTCAACCACTCAGAACTTTGTTTTAGTTCCTTTTTGCTTTGAAATATACCAGGAGCCAAAACAAATAAATAAGACCAACACAACAAAATGGAAACAATGGAAATGGCCTAGGCTTCTCTCTCCCTAGACTGACCAAAGAGCCTACATGCAAGCCAGGACCGTAACCATGTAAAATTGATCTTGGGGTCCAGAACCGGGTTCTACCAGTTATCCTGGGTTTATATTTCCTGTTGTTATTGAAAAAATACCTCACAGTTTGTGGGTACAGTCACCGAGGATTCTGTCTCCATGTCTGGGTTGGGTGTCTTTTCTCATCTCTGACACAGCCCTTCTCACCCACAGGACGCAGCCTACCACTGTGTGGCTGCTCTGTTTTACCTCAGTGCCTCAGTTCTGGAAGCCCTGGCCACCATCACAATGTATGATGGCTTCACCTACAAGCAGTACCATGAGAACATCTCTGCAGTGGTAAGTTCCCTGCAGCTCTACACCCCCAGTACACAGAGCAAGCGGCTCTCATTGCCCGCTGCAGAGGTTCCAGGTGGAGGGTCCCCCAGCCCTCCCCTCTCTTTCCACAGTGCATTGCATGTGGAAGGAAGTCATTTGTGAGGCAGCGAAGCCCCTGTGAAGGGCAGGGATGGGCCACGACTCCCTTAGTTGTTTTCTCAGGGCTGCATGGACCAAGGTGGGCACAGGGGCTCATGCTAGGCTGGCTGTGCATGGACAGATATGATCGTATATGGCCCCCACAATAATCCTGTGGGACCAGGCAGCTTGAATTGTTTCCTAAGATTGGAAGCATCAAAGCCAGGGTCTTGGCCACCTGTGTGTGCTTTTAATGCTAGTTTCTAGCAGTGTGTTTGGCCACTTGGGTCTTATGACCTTCCTCGGGTGTTGTCCACCGAGGCACGCCACCAACACAAGGACACTGAGGCCAGCATGGGTTTTCTTTTTAACTGAGTAGACCCTAATGACAAGGAGTAAGAGATCACATTGTTTCAGAAAGATGTTTTCTTTTTTCCGTAAAGATGTTTTTCTGAGTGGTACCCTTGGAGTAGTGAGTGTATTGATACGTTTACTCAGAGTCCTCAATATAAAACTTATTTCTAACAATGGGTGGCATAAAAAGGGGGGTTAGAAGTAGTACTTCTCAGGTTTCCAGAAATTGACCTGTGAATCATGCACACCCCAAAGTGGAATGAGCTAACCCAGTGCCTGTACCTGTCATTTGTTGGAAAAAAGGAAAAGAAGCCAAATGCAGTCTACAGGGATGTGTTGGTCAGCCTGCTTCTCCCTGGAGAGAAGGGGCAAAGGTTCCTCAGAACATCAACTTTATAGGGAACTCTCCAACCAAGAGAAGCTGCACACTCCCCTTAAGCAGTTTTAATGAACCTAGCCACCTGGACGTCCCTGTCACTACCCTCTCTAGTACAACATGGAACACTTTCTCACATGGAATTTCACAGCATAGCCAGGCAGCATCTGGCTTGTGCCTTCTTCCCTGAGGCTGGTGATACATCCTCTCTGCCTCCATCTTAGAACCATTGTCTCCCCTGCCTGTCAGGGGAGCACGTCAGGCCACTCCCCTTCTTAACCCACAAGCCTTCTGAGTTCTCAGACATCAAAGCATTTGATAACACCCCTAAAATTCTTCAGGGCAGCAGTAGTGTGGTGTAGACTAGATGTGATCGGAGTCTGTCCATGATGGGAAAGCCTAACTGGGTTGAATTAAAATCACTGCCTACTGAACAGGTTGAAAGCTACAGGGTTCTATTGCATCTCAACTTCCCAACTCCTCACTCTGACTTTTCATCTAAAGGCATTATTCATCCAGGTTCTGGGAGATGTATTGATTAAGAAATTGGATACATGGGGCTGGGGAAAGAGTACTGCTCTCACAGAGTTCCATTTTCAGGGTGTACATCTAGTTTCTCAGTTGCCTATAACCCAAGGTCTGGAGGCTCTAGCACCCTCTTCTGGCTTCCGTGGTCACTGCACTCACACGCACATACCCACCTATAGAAACAGACACTTTATTTTTAATAAAGTATGTTTTAAAGAGCTAGGATACAGACCTTGAGGTATATGTCAGTGGTAGAGCATTGGTCTGGAATGTGCAAGGACTCAGATTTCATCCCCAGCACTACTAACATGAGAGAGAGAGAGAGAGAGAGAGAGAGAGAGAGAGAGAGAGAGAGAGTCCCATTGGCCTTATCACCATCACAGTTACTAGCCAACTTCTAGCACCCAGTTCAGTTTTGCCTGACTCTTGAAATGGAATTGTACAAAGCTCATTCTCTTATGCCTGGCTTCTCTCTCCCAGCCTATGGATGTAGGAGTCATCCGTGTGGTTGGGTGTAGATGTGGACTGCTTATTACATTGCTGTATAGTATGCCATTGCAGGCCTTTCACGACATCTACTCATCCACTCCAAAGCTGACTCTGTCCCCATGTTTTCATATTGGACATGGATAGACATGCCCGGCCATTTTATGCTAGAGTCAAAACTCCAAATGTTCTCCTTTGGCAGGTATACTGGGCTAGAACTAATAAGGTGGCATGAGAACCAGGTTTAAAGCAGAGCTGTTTCCATTCACAGTATCCTCTGGATTGGTACCCAGGGAGGGGGCATCATCCTTACTCAGAATTAACACCTGATCTTGGAGCCTCCCTCACACCAGCCAGCCTGCCTCATGTCCCCTCTCTGGTTCTCACAGTAGGACCTGTTTCAGCTCAACTTCTTCACTCTGACCTTTGGTGGCAGTGAATGGAGCTTCTTTGCCAGAAAGCTATCTGGGATTGACAGAAGTGGACAAAGGAGAGCTAGAGATTTCTGGAAACATCTAGATCTCACTGTGGTGGGCAATCATGGCAGAAGTTCACAGAGAAGAGTTTCTGAAGGTCAAAATGTGTCTCAGCACATCCCGGGCTCTAAATATCGACTGTGTGCCATTTCTTAGTCTCATTTTCAAAATAAATCTCCACTCCTGTTCCTTCCAGTACTTCTGCCAAGGCTTCTCCTTGGGCCTGAAGTCCCACCTGAGGGGTCCAGGTGACTTGGGTAGTTAGGAGTTTCCAGAAATTTGTCACTAGCTAACTCAGGTTACATATCGCCTCTGGCCAATGAGGGTGGAGCGCCTGCCTATGCTTGAATGCCATGGCTGCTGTTTGTGAGCATTTCCAAGACTCATAGAAGCGTGGCCACCCGAAATGTGCCAGAGCTGGAAACTTTTGACCCCTTGCCCAAGGTCATGAAACCAGGTGCAAATATTGGATTTGGCGGAGGTCAAGCAGCCAGAGTACAGGGGCACACACAGCCCAAGAAAGTCACAGGTGACAGTCAGTCCTGGGCCTATGTTCCCACTGCCAAAGTGACAGGCAGCATCACCTCAACAACTCCTTGGTACACCACTTCCTGTTGATAGAAGCTGGATGCCTACCCTCCTCTGCCTTGCTCTCCACTACTCATGAAGCCTGGTTGCCTTACTTGTGCCTGGGAAATGAAGAATCCAGAATTAAGAGGAAGGGTCTGAGAGATGGAAAGATGTCCAGTGGTTAAGAGAACTTGTTGCACAAGTGTGAGCTCCAGAGATCAGATCCCAGAACCCACATACCAAGCTGGACATCCTTCCAATGCTGTAAACCCGTGACACTCAGTGAACCACTAGCACTCAGTAGCTGTCTGCTGGGGTAAAAACTACACGCTCCAGTTCACAGAGAGACCCTGCCTCAAAGATAAAAGGCAGGGACTCTTATATAGAGGAAAACACCTGACGTTCTCCTATGGCCTACATATGCAACACACACACACACACACACACACACACACACACACACAGAGTCACACACAAACATACACAGTTATACATACTTTTTTTTTTTTTTTTTGAGAAAAGGTCTGCAATCCCAGCATTTGGGAGGCAAAGGCTAGCAGATGTCTGAGTTCAAGGCCAGCCTGATCTACAAAGTGAATTCCAGGACATCCAGGGCTACACAGAGAAACCCTGTCTCAGAAAGCAAAAACAAAACAAAAAGATAAAAGGTCTGATCAAGTACAGACAGCATGGGGAACTTAACCAGAGGTAGCAACCCAGGCCATGGTGTCACAAGCCAACTTCTGATGTCACAACTTGGGAATATTGGCCTTGGTCTTACTGGTGTAGAGAGGGATGCTTTTCATAGTCACTGACACCTAGCTGTGATATCTGTTGGAGGGGACTTTGATGACTCCAGCCAAGTCAGATGACCCTAGTGTGACAGGGAGGGTTTGCACACCAAGACCAAGGCAACAAGGTTAGACTACCTGGGGATCTGGGTACCAGCAAGCAGTGGTAGTCCATACACCCTGAATCTATCCTCCAGAGCCACGTGACAGCCCTCATAGCCCCATGTGCCCATCCCCATTGACCCCACGCTAACCACCTTCCCTCTGGTTCCAGGTGTTTGCCTACGTGGCCACTCTGCTCTACGTGGTCCATGCTGTGTTTTCCTTAATCAGATGGAAGTCTTCGTAGGACCGCAGACCAGGAGCTGGAACCCAGATGGCATTAACTGACCAGCCCATCTCCCCCATTAACTTCCTAGAGCGCAGACGTGATGGTGGACAAAAGAAAACAAGCCAAAAAGCAAACAAAACAAAAACAAAAGGAAGCCATGTTCTGTTTCTCTTGGGTGTCATGTTTACTTTCTGTCAAGGGTTTAGGGCTTGCTATGTTTAACCTCCAGCTGTGGGAGGAAGGGGCTGTCTTGCCAGTGGCCTTTCTGGCCTTGACAGGGACAGTGGGTGGGAACTGGGAACCTTGATCTGAAGAAATGACGATTTTCCCTTGACCCTTGGAACACATCTTAAGAACTGCCTCTTGGAATTTTCCACAGGCTCTTTAGAGCATCCATCCCCTGGCATGTCTTAGTTTTTGTGGATAGTCTGAGTGTCACAGAGACTGAAATCCACCCAACAGAGGTCTCCAGATGTTCATAGTGGAAGATGAGCCCCTCTAAAACACTCCATTAAATAAATGTCTTTATAGCTCATGTTTCAAGGGTATGGGACTAAGGGGTTGTTTTTCATTCTCTGGGATCAGGGACATTGTCCAGTCAACTTTCTCCCCGAAGAAGCCTTTGATTTAAAGGAACTCTCAAGGGACAATTCAGATGTGCTTGCTGGGCCACTCTTTCCCAGTGTGACTCACTGGGGATCCCACCCTCACAGCAATGTCTTCCAGGATAGTGGCTCCCTTGTAGGGAGATCCTGGGGCTCCAACTTCTTCTTTGAAGACACAGTAGTCTGCTCAATTAGAGTTTTCTCAAGCCCTGAGAAACCTAGCTCTGGACAGTTCTTCCTTTTCATTGTAAGTGCTCTAAAATGCTCCATCATGGTGTCTGTGTGTTTGGGCACATCTTCAGACCATTCAGGGACCAGACTGCAGAGTGAAGGGACTATTGATGGTTGCCATATTCCAGGTCAGGGACCTGAAAGGAGGAAGTATCATTAGGAAGGATCCAAAGAATCTGGAAAGTCAGGTTCCCCGATAGGACATCTCACCTTGACCCCATGGCTAAAAGAAGTGAGTGACAGTCTAGAGATGCAGCCCCAGATGCTTGACTCTCCTGCCAGTCTCCAGGAGAGCCAAGATTCTAGCCTCAGTCAGAAGGTTTAACCAGCTAATGTTTTGTTTTCCAATGAAGTAGGAGATGAGTGCTACAATTAAATTGGACTTGGGAATTTTTCTACCTTGGTTCTGAGGATGGAACCCAGGGCCTGTGCTTGTTGGGTAAACACTCTACTGCTGAGGCCCATCTTCCCCGCTCAAACTGGGTCTTAATGGCACATCCAGGAGGACTTTTGTTATCCCAGCATCACAGGGACCCAGATTTGCCACTTGCACACTTAACACAGTCAAAATTTCATAGTAAAACACAAGTAAAAGATTAGGTTGGGGATTTATTTTTAAAATTTTAAATGTAAACTAAGAGAAAATAAGAAGTTCATTATAGTGTTTAACAAAATCTGAAACAGTGTTGACGAGGGAAGTCTCATGTTTTCAACAAAATGGCACCATAACATTATACTAACCAACAGCTCAGCATGATTGAGGGTCACGTTTTGACAAGAGGGAGGGGAGGAGAAAGGGGAGAAAGAAGGAGGGGAGGGGTGGGGGAAAGAAGGGAGGGAGGGAGGGCGACTAAATTGAAATTCCCCAAGAGTTTCTCAATGTTTCAGATGTTTAATCATTAAAAGAAACTTTCTTAACAATCTTTCTCTCTTTTTGTGGCAAATTATTGTAACCATAGAAACCTGGATTAAAGACCATGAAGATGGGTCTGGCATAACTTTCAAGCTTTCTATCCTGGGTCTATACAGAAACTTTGTAGTTTCTTTTTGTAATCTTTTATTTATGCTTTGACAATTTCACATATGTATACAATGTATCTTGATCCCATCATTCCTGACCCCTCTCTTCCACCCCTAGCACATGCCCCTGCCCGGTGGGCACACTGAGTCCAGTTCGTGCTGCCTGATGGAATGTCTACTGATCTTGTTGGCTGGCTCTTGTTTAGGTCTTAACCATAGCTGCAGTGAGTTCATGAGTGCAAAAGTCATGTCACATCCAGAAAACAGCATGCCACAGCACTCCACCCCATCCTCTGCCTCTTAGAGTTCTTTTTTTTTTTTTTTTTTTTTTTTTTTTGTCACCTCTTCTGTTCCCTGGGCTTTGGCAGAGGTTGGGGCGATGGGGAGAGTTGGGGGGTAGGGAGGGGGGATTAATTGACAGAAATGTCCCATTTAGGGCCAAGCCCTCTGCGGTCACTTACTCTCGCACTTTGACCAGTTCAGAGTGCCTGCATTAACATGATGCCTACTTCTGAAGCTTACAACTTCCTTTCCCATCGTAGTAACTCCATGTTGGAACTCCAAGTAATGGGGTGATCATGTTTTCACCTCCCCCAGATCCATTCCCCTCACACTTGCTCTAACCCACTCTCTGCCTAATTCCCACCCCTTCCAGGGCCCAGGGTTTGCAGGTACAAAGGTCTACTTATAGCCAACCATACCTACTTGGGTCTTCCCTTCTGGGAATCCACCATCCCTGAGAGGAACAGCTTGAAGAAGCTGCTGGAAGAACGGAAGTTAGCTGCACCAAACAGGCAGCAGCCAGGCGCCTGTGTGTGACTCTATTCTCTCCTCCCGATGGACTGTCTGGCCCACAGAGATCCTCTATTACATGACACAACACATTTGTATTGGGGTCTTGGATAAGAGGAAACTTCTTCTGGGACAATACCTTGGTGTTATCCTAACCAAGGGCAAGAAAGCATTCTTGGTTGGCCTTAGATGAGGTAGTTCTAACACTCCAGTTCTCACCTGTATAGCCACTTTGCTGGTCATCTTTGGAACTCTTGCCTGGAGCCAGGCACCCCTGAAAGAACCTTCCATATGTAAACATGGCCTCCTGCAACTCTCCTGGTGGTCACAGGTGATAGCCTCTATATTATTCCATAGGTGAGGACCCCAAGATTCACACAGTGTGACATAAGGATCTGTACCAGCCCCTCTGGCCCTGGGTCCTGAGCTTGACTCCTCTCCTAGGTCATAAAGACCTGTCTTTATTCAGGGAAGTGACAGTGAGACCTTCTCATGGGCATGGTGACAGTGAGCAGAAGCCTGTAGAGGGGGATGAAGCTGGGCATTGGGGACAATGCCAGACCACTAGTAGGGCCTGAAGCAAGGGACATGGATGGGCACAAGTCATGGATTCAACCATCTAAAGAAAAGATAATTACTCTGCACTGCTACATCACCCCAGTGACAGATTGGGTGTCTCCTAGGTCCACTTTGCAGCCCTCAGAGCCCAAAGCTGACCCCATCCAGTGGACCCTGTGCAAAGGAGATGAAGAACGGGGTATTCTAAAGCAAAGGCTGAAGCCACAGGGCTGTGGACGTAACTCAGCTGGTACAGTGCTTGCCCAGTATTCTTGAAGCCCCGAGTTCTCCCCCTTCCTCAGCAGCACACAAACTGTGGTAGCACACTCCTGTAAGCCTAGTACTCAGAGACAGAGCGGGGACATCAGAAGTTCATAGTCATCCTTGGCTGTGTAGCAAGTTTAAGGCCAGCCTGGGATACTTGAGGCCCTGTCTCAAAAAGCGGGGGAAAAAAAATAAGACGAGGGAGATGGGCTTGTGGGTAAAAGCTCTTGCTAAAACATCTCAACAATGTGAGTTCCTTTCCTGAGACACATGTAAAAAGGGCAGAAGCAGTGGCCCACATCTGTAATCTCAGTACACCTCTGGAAAGATGGGAGGAAGGGGAGGTGGGGGAGACGGGCAGAGGGCCGACAGGGCTGGAGTTCACAGTACAGCAGCAGAAACTGCAAGAAACTCTGCCTCAGCAAGGTGGAAGGCAAGAAGCATCTCCCACATGTGTGTGCCTGCCTGAACACCCGCATGCACACACAAATACAAGTAAAATTTGAAAACATTTCATCATCACAAAGAACAAACAAAATCTCCTCCCTGGTCCCAAGGAAAGATTAAGAGGCAGCCACAGGCAGGCAGAACAAATGAAGCCTGAGTCCCCGCTGGGATCTCCACCAAGTGTGGGCCCAGCTGAAAGAAAGGCCGCTCCTCTCCACCGCACCTGAGGGGCCACGGAACAGCTGTGCTGAGGGCTCAGTGCTCAGGCTCCTGCTCCCCTGGGCTCTCAGGAGCTCACACGAACATTCAGTGTTAGGCAAATGCCAAAAGGACCCATAAATATGACTGCATGAGCGAGCAGGGTCCGGCTCTGGGCAGCTCCAGCCAACTTATCTTTATGCAGCCTGTTGCCAGCACCTCAGGAAGTGACAGAGAGCTGTCCCTGTGGTGGCCACATACAAACTGGCAGGGGCTTCTGGGATGCATAGTTGGATGCTTGGGGCAGCTGTGTGGAATCCTCGGAATGTCTTGGGCCTGATGGTGAGGTTTTGAGTTAATGTGATCCCTCCTTTCTTGCCTTCTGCAGCCCCAGAGACAATTCCATGGGCTGGTGACTATGAATGGCCAATATGAGAGAGGGTAGACGCTGGGGCCAGCCCACAGCAAAAGGCAGCATGTACCAATTCCACCCAGGACATTGGTGCTCTCTCTTGTGACTTCTCTGCCTTTTTTTCTCTTTCTGGTGATCTTCCCCCAGGAAGGGCAGGATTGTATGAGGGGCTCCATCACATACAGCCCTTTCCCCTGGAGGCCAACCTGACATCTCATTCTGCACACAGTAGGTCCAATCAGACCAGCCTGTCAGAGACCACTTCATAGGAGCTGAGCCTTGTAAAGGCATCTGTGTGGGCACCCTCAAAATCAGCCTTTGTACAGCAGCCCCAATAGAGGATTAAAGTTTTCCCTGCATGGGCCTTGGGCCTTAAAGAGACAGCAAAGGGTTCGCACTGCCAGCTGTAGGCTGGAGCAAGCATGCCCTTAGGGGTACACAAGGGCCTTTTGTTCCCAGAATCAATTGGGGCCACTATAGGGCCACAATGGAGGCCTTTCAAAGAGACAAAGCGCCTCTGGCCTGGCTAAGTGTCCCTGCACACGTGGGCATCTGCCCAGAACATTTAAAATAACACAATTTGAAAAAACAGATTTAAAGTGTTCAATCTAGCAGCCTTTGTTCTGTGTCTACCATGTGCAATGGCCTTTGTTCATGTTTACCACATGCAGTGATGGTGGGTAAGAGATGCGGTGCTGGAGGTGACACCAGAGCTCCCAGCTGGGACCTCTCTCCTTTGTCTTAGGTAACTGGGAGCATGCACAGTGCCAGGCTCACTGGCAGACCCTAGAGAAGTCTTATTTGTGCAACCGATGCCAACTGGGAAGAACTGTCCTGTCTGGGAAATGCCAAGGATGCTGGGAGCCTTTCGCTTCTTCATTTGATCTCAAGTGCACAAGGTGGCCTGTGTCCTTGCTGATACTGTAACAGACTACCGGAGGCAGTCAACTGCACAAACGAAAAGGTTTGTCTTGGCTCACCAACTCCAAGGCTTTAATGCACGATGGT